GGCTTTTTGTATTCACTAAAATGTATAAATCAGAATGACAGAAGTTAAAACTGGTTACCTATAAGGGGTTTTAGTAGGGCTACATCTCAGGCAAAGCTGAATTTTAAGGTACAGTTAAAACAAAACAATTTATGACAGGCTGACATGAGCTGGAATGAATGGCTATAAACTGCCTTATCCCAATTCAAAATGCTCTTGAAACTCCAGCTTTGACTTGTTTTTCCCAGATACTGGAGCTTTACAAACAGTGGTGCATTAGGAACTGTGGCAAAATAAAGCCATTTGCTTCAAATACTGTGGTGGAGAGAGAGATTGAAATCAGTGGTCAGCAGGTCTGTCTTAATTCAGATATCTTTGTGATTTGTGCACTAACTGTCATCTCAAGTTACCTTTGCTGTCAAGCCATTACCAGCTACCCAATCACAAACACTTGGAAGGGGTAATCAAACTTGGGAAACAAACCTTTAACTGAAACATCCACTCCACCACATCATCTCAAATAATCATCTTCTTTGAGTATTTTGGCTTAGTGGACTAACTTGGGAGCTGTTTTCTTTACTTATTTCCACTGTTGTTAACCTCCAACAATTAGCTATAAAACATTCAGGCAGGGACAATAAGACCCCTTATTTTTTTTGCATAGCCCCTTATATTTACAGTACCTGCTTAAAAATTGCTGCAGATATTACTTGCAGTAGAATCCCTTTTGGTACAGGTTTTATCACATTAGGTATTAAAAACACCACAGTTAATTAGCATGCACATAAGCACAAAAACCTATTTGCACCTACATATGTATAAGGTACCTAACTCAAATATTGGAATTATTCCCTCATAATGGACTAAATATTTCATAAATTTTGTCTTATTCTGATTACAATATTAAAATTTTCCCATATAAGATCAATGCCGATCATTTTCAAATATGCTCCTAAACTGGAATTGATAGGATAGTATCCTAGAGAATACTATCCTATCAGTTCCAGGACAGCTTTTTTAAAAGCTAGAATTCAGTCTTCAGGGTAGGTTAGATAACTACTATAGAGCCCTATCATTTTATTGCTGTTCTGGCAATACCCACTTCTCAGTTTATGCAAAGAGAAAAAAAAACAAGTTCTGAAAAAAGAAGTTCCAGTGCTAAACTTCTTGTATTGTCGTGAAAATAATCCAGTTCAATATTGGTGAATGTTTCAGAAATGTGACGATAGCCATTATGAACAAGAGTAACAATTTCTATTATTTCTTGGGCTTATTTATTTTTCTCAAAAAGTAAAGGGTGGCCTAAATAATTGCAGTTGAGAATATTGATTTTTGACCTTTTCAGAACAAGTGTGGTGAGAGTAGAGTTTTTTTATATTTTCAGACACCGGGATATATGGCTGATAATCAAAACTCCAGCATATCTGCAGGAAAAAAAAGAAATAGGAAAGAAATATTTATGCTCAGGAAACAAAATTATCTCATGCTTCAGAATTATATCAGTAATTACAATAGTGATTTCTAAAGATTTGATTCACCAGATTGTTCTAGAGTAGACTCTGGTGGTTAAGATGCTGGCCTAGAAACCAGTTCTAATCCTGTTGAATAACTGGGGGGTGATTTTGGACCAGTCACTTACTCTTAGTCCAACTCGCCCCATAGGCATGTTGTGGAGAAAATAGAAGGAGAAAAGAGTATTAGGTATGTTCACTGCCTTGAATTATTTATAAAATAATAAAAGGTATAAATAAATAAATGACTCACAGAAACTACATTTTTGTTGGGTACATCTGCCCATTTATTTTTGGTTTTGGGGAAACGGATGTTCTGGAAGCTATAGGAGTTTCCCCACATACAAACGGGCAGCAAAGAAGATATTTTGGATAATTTCTGTGTTGGATAGTGCCAACTAGTTTGATCCTGTTTACGTTCTGCACCTGTGGAAGAAAATGTTTAGCATAAAATAGCCTTATGCAAATAAGTGCCTGCTGCCTGCGTGAGGGATGAGTTATACAAGATACAAAGCCTTAAGGCTTACTCCAACGAAGTTTGATCTGTGATTTGATTACAACAGTTTGAGTGCTTTATATAGTGCAGCGGCTAAGAGAAAAAAATGTTTTCTGTTTCTAGTTTCTGTCACCATTGACTCTCTAGGTGGCCTTTGTGCAAGATTTGGTTCTGCCCTATAAAAGAATAATATCCCACTAACTTGTTTCATTGGAGCTTTGTAAAGATTACTGAAATGTTTTTTCCTACTACTCAACATTCCTTGTTGGGTATTGTACCCCACTGAACCTCAGTACTTGCTCTTGAGTAAACATAGGCTTGTGTTAAATAATACAGTATTCAGAATGCCACATAACATAAATATAAGAGATGCATAGATTATATTTTTTTGGCCAGGGAGAATAGCGTGCCAAATTCTTTCAAAGAAGGAATGTTTTGGTAATCTTATTTCCTGAAATGAACTTTAAATCTGCTTGTGAACAGCAAACTGAAAGCTGGACGTCATACCTAGGAATGTCTGATGCTTCTGCCAAAATTGTGTTGGAGGCTGTGCCACCTGAGGAGCTCTGCAAATCTGGGATTGAGCAAGACTAGGAGGGGAGAAAAACATTAAAGAAACTCCAGTTAATTATTTCCAGGTCCCACCCTGCAAACTAAAATAAATAAAAGTATTAATAATTGAGCTTTAAAAAGCAATGAGCAACTTTAAGACATTTCTCTATTTAAAAAATAAATCAATATAAGAAATACTCCTTGTTGGGTTCTATAATTCTGTGTTATAAAATAATTCAGTTCACCTTGAATCTTTCTTATTTGACTATACAGATGTAATTATATGCTTTATTTATTTGTTAGATTTATATCTTGCTTTTCATTCAAGAATGAATAAAGTTGACAAATTCAAGCTGGGAAACATGGTGCTGTCTTCCTTTTCCCCCATGGCAACAGCAACCTTGGAAAGTAGAGGGGTGATGAGCAAGAGCTTAGTGACCTTCTAGGCTGAGGGTGGACTACAACTACTACTACAGTCATGTCAGGAGTGCCAAAGCACTTCCAGATTGAAAGGATTGAACGGTGATATCACCATTTCCCAGGGAACCCCCAGTTGGGGGCTCCTTTCATGTCCTGGTTAAGTTGCCCATCAAAGTGGTACCCATTTATCTAGTCACAGTTGTCAGCTTTTGAACTGCTAGGTTGGCAGGAGCTGGAGCGTGTGATGTTCTGCGGCAACACGGGGTCTTGAATGTGAGCCTGCCAATCATCAGCCCAGCGTCCTAAACCTTTGGTCCCTGAGTTCAACTTATGCCTCCCCGCTCCTAGTTCAACACCTTAATGGCTTAACTCAAACATCTTTTCAATCAAATTATTCTCAAGACAATTTACAACTAACCTGTTGTGGTAGTATAAACTCAATGGTAGCTGACTAGACACTTGATGGATCTGCCTTCCAGATCACGGAGAAGTTCTACATCCCTCTGGGTTCATGAAGTATTTGGGCAGACCATCTTAATAAGCATAATTGTGTCCTGGCTGTACTCATCCCCCGCCCTCCATTCTGTGAGAGAGGCAGCTTTAAGCTATCCTTGGTTAAAGTAGTATTTTCTCCCTTACATTGACACCATCCAAGATAGCCGGCTGGACAGAATCTGCTAGGTATATTTATCCATCAATTTGCAAGAAAGTCTGGTGGCTAGAAACAGAGATAATAGAGATTGGCAATGGGTATAACAAATGTCATGCTGTAACTATTTGCTGCCAACTGAAGGATAAGTGGCGAACACTGTAGCTTAGTAATAGAAAAAGGTCCCTATGTAGAAATTTCCTCTTGAGCAAACAATACTTCTTCTTCAGAGAGAGGGGGGTGGGTTAGAATAAGAATAAGCTCTAACAATCAACCAACCTTTCTGGAGACGTGGGTGGATATATTTAGAATTATGAGATCATGCCATAGAAATTCTGACAAAATGGCTGCTGTGAGAGATGGATTTGCCTTCTTGTAAAACAGTTTAACAGATTGTCCCGACCATATCTCAACTGAAAAAAATCCAGATGATCACTGGATGACAGCAACAAGATAAAACACTCTCTAACAGTTAACTGCCATCTACCAGTAGTGGGTTTTCTAGTGAGTATGACCAGCCTTCAGACAACCAATTTAAGATAAAATGGCTGCCCCTGCCACCCTCTTTAGTCCTCTATCTGCTTTCTACTTGTTCACTTAATTCACTGCTTTTATAAATCATGAATATGATCTGATTATTTACTTTTACATATGTATTTATCATTAAAATTAAATGGTTTCTGTTGATGGCAAATTACGATTGTGATAGCTACATTGTTATGGTTTGATTTGCTCATAGTCACTCGTGTCTTTGTAAATTGTCATCTGGACTACTAAAATGTGCTCTACATGGGGTTGTCCTTGAAGAGCATTTGGGAGCTTCAACTAGTGCAGAATCTGGCTACATGGGGAGTAAAGTGTGCCAGGCATTCAATACACATAACACCACTGCTCCATTAGTTATCAGTGTATTTTCAAATGCAATTCTAGGTGCTAGTTGGCACCTTTAAAGTCCTACGTGATGGGGTCAGGTTACCTAAGGGATCCTCTTCTCCTAGTTGTCTCTGTCCATCCAATTTTATCAGACAGGTTGGACACATGCAGGCCCCCTCAGCCAAGGAATTTCAGCTGGTGGGAACCAGGAGTGCCTTCTCTGCCATAGCCTCTGCCCTCTGGAGCATTGTCCCTTCAGATATCAGGATTACCCTGACCCTACTGGCTACAAGACTGTGAAGACTTGGTTGTGTGGCTAGAGCCCCAACTGGTTAAGGGTCCTATTGTATTAACATCCATAGTACCAGTTTTACTTGGTACCATACATATTTATTTTGCAGTTTAATTGTTTTTATGTCTAATGATGTATGCCACCCTAAGTTACCTATTGAGACGGGCAGCTATAGAAATCAGATCAAACAAATAAGTACGTGTTAACTTTTTTTTTTTCTCCTTTTAGACTAAGAAAACGAGACCCAAGCAAGCTACAAAACATGACTTCTGATGCTAGTCACATGCTTGAAGCTGCTCTGGAACAGATGGATGATATCATTGCAGGTATTGTGAGAGTTTATTTTTTAAAAAATCTACTAAGATCTGTTTTGTAACTATGATAATGAAAGTTGAAATATTCATATGAATTTCCATTTATATTTGACTGTCCAAGCTTTCTCAAGTTATTGTCCAAAATAGTTCTGTTTGCTGAGCTATTTTTAACCAGATCAAGGTCAGTTTCCTGGAGAGCAGAATGTACTTTATTTTGTGAAAAGTCTAGTGTGGCAACCAAGACTGAGTTTATAGGGATAAAATGGCCAAGGATAGTTAAAATTTAACACACACATACACACACTAATAATGGGACAGACTGGACATTGTTCTTGATGCAGTCATTTAACATTAGAATAAGAATCTTCAGAGATTATACACTAAGGATATCAATTATTTTAGCATAAGAATATCAAGAAAAAGGATATTATCTATATATGGCATTGAAATATATGTTGCAAGAAAAAAAAGCTTCCACGTTTTAAAGCTTCAGCTTTAAGCAAAGAAAAAATAGTGAAAACAACAGAAAATAGTGTTTTGTAAAGTATCACTTTCAAAGTCATAACAAATTCCTCCTTCTCTTTCCCCCCTTTTAAAGTCTGGTGCGTAACTAGGACTTTCTGTTCTTTTCAAGTGCATGGACTGAAAATTGTTCAGTTAAGTTACTCCCTCCCTAGTTGTAAAGAATCCCAAAAGCAACCAATTGCATCTTAAAACTCGTAGTATAACAAAGCTGATAAAGCTGAATCAGAGGTTTCTTTGAAATCAGGAGAATCTTGAAGCTTCCTATAAATACCAGAGCTGTCTGTTTGAAAATGTTTCCTAAAGCAGCATCTATCCACAGTTCATTAAAGAAGGTTGCAAGCTTTTGTCTGAGACTAAAAAAATATGCATCTGTTTCAAGTTCTAATAATTGCCTAAAGTGGTGGCATCTTTCCTTTTTCTTCATGGAGAAGACTGAAAATACTTGGAATTCACAGGAATTTTCAGACTTTTTCGGGCTGTCTAACCTCTTAGTTAAAAAGAAAAAAAAAGTCCTGAAATCCCTGACCAAAAAGCAAAGCTTGAGTGATGGAAAGTTGGCTGCATGCAAGTGAACATTTTCCTGCCTTAGTCTCTTGCAGAAACCCATAAAATTCTCATGGAAGCCAGTTTGAAATAGCAAGTAGCAGCAAGGAGCTTCCTTTCAATCTCTTTGTAAGCCTGCACATTCCTATCCTTGTGCAATTGAGCTTGACTGAGCTGTTATTTTGGTAATAACATTTTTGTGTGCTAACTCGGAATGGTTTATTATGGGAGGCTTAGCCATAAAATGATTGCTACTATCATTCACAAGATAATAATTTATCAAAAAGTGAAGCCGGCTAGCTGTCTGACAGCTGCACTTCAGGATATTTTCTATCATTCCAGTTTACCATTTGTGAACAAGCAGTTTAGGATTAGGATGCTCTAAGCTATATCCAGAGCTAGTTTGGTGTAGTAGTTAAGGCGAATGAAGTCAAATATACATGTCCCAAGATAATGTTGCAGGATCCAATCTGGGTTGGTCACCAGGACCAGAGGTTTAGTTTTTTGAGCTTCTGAATTCTTGCTACAGCCCGTCATCAGGGAATTTCTCTCTAGCAGAATTGGTTAAGTGGTTAAGGCACCAGCTTAGAAACTGGGAGACACTGAATTCTAGTCCCACCTTGGCCAGTCCCTCTGTTTCAGCCTAGGAAGAAGAAGACAATGGCAAACTACTTTCAAAATTATGCAAAAAAAACCTGCAGGGACTTGTCCAGGGACTTGCCTGAGGTCAACACTGAGTCGAAGGTAGAAAAAAAGAGTGGGCTCTAGCAAACATGCCATTTTCTTTTCTAAGAATGCCACTTGATTTTACAATCTTAAAACTGTTACTATGAGTTAGTAAATTTGCTGAAAATTTATTAATAAAAACATGTTTTAACTGGTTAATAAAATCTAATATTGGAACAGAAACATGATACACAACATCTTTAACCTTTATAAAATATTTTATAACAAATTTGTTATTTATTTACTGTAATAAGGGCATGGGCCTTTATACTTCAGGCAGGGCTAATGGTAACTTTATAAGGGAGAGAAAAGAATGCCTTAATGTAGTTTATTGCATCTGCATCCTTTTTCTGTTATGGAAATACTAAATCCAGGATAATAATAATAATAATAATAATAATAATAATAATAATAATAGTAGTAGTAGTAGTAGTAGTAGTAGTAGTAGTAGTAGTAATAGTAAAGTTGGAAGGGACCTTGGAAGTCATCTAGTCCGACCCCCCGCTCAGGCAGGAAACCCTATACCATTTCGGACAAATGGCTGTCCAGTCTTTTCTTAAAACTTCCAGTGTTGGAGCATTCACCACTTCTGGAGGCAGGTTGTTCCAGTTAATTGTTCTAACTGTCAGGAAGTTTCTTAGTTCTAGGTTGCTTCTCTCCTTGATTAGTTTCCACCCGTTGCTTCTTGTCCTGCCTTCAGGTGCCTTGGAAAATAGCTTGACTCCCTCTTCTTTGTGGCAGCCCCTGAGATATTGGAACACTGTTATCATGTCCCCCCTCGTCCTTCTCTTCATTAAACTAGACATACCCAATTCCAGCAGCCGTTCCTTATATGCTTTAGGATCCAGTCCCCTCATCATCTTTGTTGCTCTTCTCTGTATTCTTTGTAGAGTCTCAATATCTTTTTTACATCGTGGTGACCAAAACTGGATGCAGTATTCCAAGTGTGGCCTTACCAAGGCATTGTAAAGTGGTATTAACACTTCATGTGATCTTGAGTCTATCCCTCTGTTAATGCAGCCTAGCACTATGTTGGCCTTTTTGGCAGCTGCAGCACACTGCTGGCTCATAGTTAGGTGATTGTCCACTAGGACTCCGAGGTCCCTCTCACAGTTACTACTGTTGAGCAAGGTACCCCCTATACTATACCTGTGCATTTGTTTTTTCTTGCCTAAATATAGAACCTTGCTTTTTTCACCATTGAATTTCATTTTGTTAGATAGTGCCCAGTGTTCAAGTCTGTCCAGATCCTTCTGTATCTTAAGCCTGTCTTCTGGAGTGTTGGCTATTCCTGCCAGCTTGGTGTCATCTGCAAATTTGATGAGTTCCCCATCTACCCCCTCGTCCAAATTGTTGATGAAGATGTTGAAGAGCACTGGGCCCACAACAGATCCCTGGGGCACCTCACTACACACTTCCCTCCATATAGATGCGGTTCCATTGTGGACCACTTGCGGAGTATGACAAGTCAGCCAGCTACAGATCCATCTGGTAGTGATGCTGTCTACCCAACATTTTTCTATCTTGTCAAGTAGGTTGTGATCTACTTTATCAAATGTCTTACTGAAATCCAAGTAAATTATGTCCACAACATTCCTCTGGTCCACTAATTTTGTCACTTGGTCAAAGAATGCAATAAGATTTGTCTGGCATGATTTATTTTTGACAAACCCATGTTGGCTTTTAGTAATGACTTTGTTTGCCTGTAGGTGTTCGCTGATTCGTTGTTTGATTATCTTTTCCACGATCTTCCCAAGTATTGAGGTCAGGCTGATAGGTCTGTAATATCCTGGGTCCATTTTTTCCCTTTATTGAAGATGGGAACTACATCAACTCTTTTCCAGTCCTCTGGTAGTTCCCCTGTGCTCCAGGATCTTTGAAAAATATAGTTCAATGGTTCTGAGATCACATCTGCCAGTTCCTTGAGAACCTTGGGATCTAATCCATCTGGTCCTGGTGATTTGAACTCGTCTAGGGTGGACAGGTGCTCACTTACCATTTTCTTGCCTATCTTAACTTGTGTTTCTATTCTGTTTTTTATGGCACTATTTTTGATAGGTTGGTTTGTTTTTTCCTTTGTGTAAAGACAGATGCAAAAAACGAGTTAAATAGTTCTGCTTTCTCCCTGTTGCTTGTCACCTTCTTGCCACTTTCACCCACTAATGAACCAATCATTTCCTTCACTTTTTTCTTGTTTTTTACATGTTGAAAGAAGCTTTTTTTGTTATTTTTGACTTTGGTCTCAAGCCTTAGTTCATTTTGAGCTTTGGCTTTCCTCACTTCATCTTTGTAGGTTCAGGCTATTTGCTGATATTCTGACTTAGTTATGTGCCCTTCTTTCCACTTTCTATACTTGTCCTTTTTATCTTTCAATTTGTCAGAAAGTTCTTTATGCAGCCATGCTGGTTTCTTTTGAGAGCTGTTATTTTTCCTCTTTGTTGGTATTGTGCTATACTGGGCTTTTATTATCTCATTTTTCAAAATTTCTCAAGCTTCTTGAGTTGTTTTCCCTTGAGAATTCTCATCCATGGAATCCTTCCCAAGCCCTCTCTAAGTTTATTGAAATTAGCTCTCTTAAAGTCCAAGACTCTAGTTTGACTGCGTTCTGTTGCTTATGCTTCCATAATGTTGAATTCTAATATTGCATGATCACTTCTTCCCAGGGTACCTATGGCTTCAACACCTTCTATCATTTCATCTCTGTTAGTGAGAATTAAATTCAAAATGGCTAATCCCCTAGTTCCCTTCTTTACTTTTTGGGAGACAAAGTTGTCTGCTAGGTTTGCCAGGAACCTGTTTGATGTTCCACTTGGTGCAGAGTTTGTCTCCCAGTTGATGTCAGAGTTTGTCTCCCAGTCGATGTAGTTAAAGTCCCCATTACTGTTGTGATGTGCTTCCTACATACCTTAGTTAACTGACTAGCAAAAAGTTCATCTATTTCCTCTGATTGGTTGGGTTGTCTGTAGTATACACCTATGGCAATGTCATTTTCCCCCCTTTTATGTTGACCCAAATGCATTCAAGAATTTTCTAATCAGAAGTGTCTGACAGACATTATGCTTTTTCAGTCCTTATTACTTTAATTATAATTGAAAGACAAATTAATTTTCCAAAACTAGTAACTAGATCAATAGCTGTTGTGAATCCAAGACAGCTGAGAACTTCATTCATTAGGCATTCATAGAAATTGATTTAAAAATGCATATTTTATTTGTGGG